AGTGGATGAGTACTTTGATGGGGGTCGGGGCGGTAAGGGTGGGGAGTAGGATGGGGGGGGCAACAGGGCTGCAGTTGGCACTTTTCCTGCTAACCCACTTTTCCTGCGTGCAGCATTGCGTTTCACCTTGAAGCGAGCGGAAGAAGGCGCTATTCAAACAGGAATAAAGCTGGCTGACAGTGGCTCTTCCAAACCCCTAACATCCCAATTTCTCCCCCTGCAGCACATACATCCACCTTCAAAACCCAAACATCTTTCCTCGGTGCCAGAGAATTAATAAATAAAGAAATAAATTCATGACAAGTACAAGGAGGAGAAGAGGAAAAAGAAGAAGAAGAATAAATACAGGAGCTGCATCCTCCGGAGGATAACAAGAATAATGCCTTCATTTGCTGCAGGGCCTCCACTCTGCACCAAGTATAGACACGTCTTTTATGGCTGTAGTATTTCTGATTGGCATCCTAGGACAGCCATTTGAATTATTTAATAGAGCACCCATTCCCCTTCATGGAGGCAGAAAAAAGAAATATGTGTTTGTATGTTTGTGTTATTGCCTTTGCTCTTTATTATCTTTATTTTGGCATCTCCTCTCTCTCTCATACACATACCTGAACTCTCTCTCGATCTGGTGTCCCAATTTATTGTTGTTGTTTATTGTTTATTATTTTCTCTCTTTCACAATGCTGATCACGTGACACAAGGTGAAAGATGCAGCTAAGCTAATGCAAATGCATGCTAACGTGTTCCAGTGTGATTACAAGTGGAATAAATCAAAAGACCAAGCACGCATCATGTATCACATCTACACCCAGAGGTGGAGAGAATCAATCCATCGTAGATCACAAAGTAGAACACAGAGGATATTGAAGAAGTCTTGGGCCTTGGGCTTTTATAGCAAAATAAATAAATAAATAAATAAATAACTGATCCATTTCTTGTCAGAAAATAAGACAGAGAAAAGAAAGTGCTGTGTAGCGATCTCTCCCCAGAGCATGGTGGGGGAGTGGGCAGGTGATACAGGATCTCCTCCTCTGACTGCCATCAAAATTCTTCAACATATCTGCTTACAACTTTCTCTTCCTGCCTGTCTCTCCCTGGCAAACCCATGGCAGAAACTCAATGTTTTGGGGCATTTGGACATGGATGGAAGAACCAGCTGAAGTTGAAACAACGCGTCGGGATGGAATAGTGAGTTGATTTCAGTGACAATGCCGTGATTGTTGGTGCCAAACAGGATGGTTCTGATATTTCAACAAGTGCAGATGTTTCTGGGTTTACAGATATTGGCAACATGATACCATGGTACCTTGAATGATTCCAAAGATAAAACAGCAATTCTCAATTAAGTGTGACGACTAACCTTTACTTCCTTTCTGTGAAGAACCATGAAAAAACAAAACAAACAAACAAACAAAAAAAAACAACTACACACATATAAGAAAGAGCATAAAGACAAGAACCATAAACCATACTTAGAAAGACCCGGAATCAAACTAACAAACTGATGATCACTAACAACTTTGTTTGCACCTCTGGTCTGGTGCCAATGACATGGAGGGCAAGGAGAGATAATTTTAACAGACGGCATTTTAAATTCAATTTTAAAAAAAGAAATACATGTTCAATCCTGATATTGGGGACCTAGAGAAGAATTAACCCAGGTGACTAGCAGATCACAAATATAAATTCAGAACTGTGGAGACCAAAGCAGTAAAGATCTCAAATCAAGAGTCCCTTTTAGAATGAACTGAGCACAGCCACAGGATTTCCTTCAGTCTTAGGATATAAAATCCAATAAGGTTACAAGAACACAGAGGATCCCAAAATCCTGTATTTCTCCAAACACAGAAACTAGAACCCTTGAAGAAAAATAGTAATAGTAAAAGTAAATCCAAATAGTAAATCCAAACATACTTTATA